TTCTTACCTATCCTCTGTCAAAACAGCAGGGGCCACCACCAAAGGAGCCCAACCACACATACACACACTCACCTTCTGATATACTTTTTATGTACTATTACGTGATATGGATATCTGTTTAGCTGAAACTTCACACTAGACTGTTGGTTACCTGTGAGCAGATACATCTTATCTCAAGCCTACTTCTCTCTGCCCATTGCCTTCTCTCCCTCCCAGGACTGAGCACAAGGTTTTGCATAGATTTAACAGATACTTTCATACATTTAATAGATGCTTGCTGAATTTGAGTGAAGGAGAATGTTATCTTTTGGCCCAGAAACTCTAGGAGCCTTCCTGATCCGTTTGCAGCAATTGTCCTGCACCCTTTCTGATAATCCAGAATTCCCCTTTCTGAGAACCATAGGCATCTTCTCTTCCCCCAGCTTCAGCACCTGTACACTATGGAGACATTTCTTTCCCTCTCTTATCCCCCCATGGGAGCCTCCTCCCGTCCCCTAATACTCTGTTTCTCTCAATATGTTTTAAATTAGCTGGGGTGGAGAGGATTTGACCGAGAGAGCTCTCAAAGGGCTAGATAGGAAAGAAGAGTTTCTGGGTATTCACCTCTTTGTACAGGACTATTGTTTTGTCCCTGAGCAGGTTCATGGGTGTTCATGACCCTCACAGGATCAAGGCTGCTCCCAACCCCATCTTGGAGTCTTTCTTCTGGACCCAGAGCAGAGATTTCAAAGAGATAAGTAGGCTCCAGACTTAGATACTATTAAGGAACTAAGAGGTTTAAACCCCAATCCCCTTCAATAGAGCAATCTTTGCTGTTCAGTGGTCACTGAATAGGAAGTAGGAAAAGTGGGAAGGGGTGTGTTCCTAGGACATAGATGTGGTGCCATTTCCCCTAGGGAATATTATATTTAATTTAAGCACGAAGATCTGCCAATCTCTGATATCAGAGTGGATTGGGAGTTCACAAGACCTGGGTTAAAATCCTATCCCTGCCACTGAATTACTGTGTTTCTTTAGCCAAGCTCTCCTCTTCTCTGAGTCTCACATTTCTCCTCTGTAAAATGAGAGGGTTGGACATAATGATCTCTAAGGTCATTCTGAGCTCTGACATTCTCTGTCCTATGGATATAGGTTTGCTCCCTACGAGTCATCCTCCACTCTTCAAGCTCCTTCAGCCCAGTGTCCTATCATTTACTAACTCTTGTCAATGTCACTTCTGATATAAGTCCCTTTCTCTCTATTCATATCACAACCACTTTTTTCCTTTTAGTCCCCTGTCATTTCTTGTCTTCATTAATGCAATAGCCTCCTTACTGGTTTCCCTGACTCTAGCTTCTCCCCTCTTTAATCCATTCTTCACACAGTTGTTCCTAGAATATCAACAGGAATTGGTGTTCCCAGAGCAGATGCTTAACCTTGTCTTTTCTCTGCTCAAGAAGATCTAATAGCTCCCTATCGCAGTCACTTAATGAATGCTCATAGGATTGCAATAAAGGATTACAGGATTATAGAATGGAAGTTGCAAGGGACCACAGAAGCTATCTATTCCAATTCCCATGGAGGCTAAGTGATTGGACCAATGTCATACGGTTTGGCTGTGTTAGAGGCAGGATTTGAATACAGGTTTTCCTACTCCAGGGTCAGGGCTATTTCTACTGTATTTAATTCTGAAGTCCCTGCCATATTTAATGTTTCCATAAAGACTTGTCCTCCTTCTTTCCCATGAGCTCCTTCCTTGTCTCCTCCCAAGGGCAATAAGGCCAAGGCAGGGCACAGGCTACAGCTTGGGGAATGCTTTGATTGAGAAACATGTCCCACTGGCCATGGGAAGCTATGGGGATACACAGGAATAGACAGAAAAGATGTAGAAAACAAGGAGGAATGGAGTGAAGAAGAATGGGGAAAGGCGGAGGCAGCTTCCTGTCCCTGGAGAATAAGCTCTAGCCCTCTGATCTTAAGCATGCTTTCTGCCAGATTCTGAGAGGCCTCAAGGTCCCTGGCAACAGGGTGGGCATTCCTTGAGAAGGCTGACCTGGGGCAGGAAGCCTGGGACTATTCACTGTGCCAGTTAACTGCTTTTAGGTAAATTAACAACTATTACACCCTCACACTCTCAACCCCCTCAACTAATTACTGTACTAAATTTTGTACAAGTTTTCAAAGCTTTGATTTAGAAGTGGAGATGGCAAATAATACCTTCCTCCCCTCCAATCACCATCCCAGAACCCCTGAAGAATAGGGGTCATTTCTAACACATGTCAGGTATAAGACTTTCACTGTACAAAAAGGGAAAGCAAGGAAGACATCTTTGGGGCTGACATACCACGCCCATAGTTCCTTACCAGGAGTCACCCTTCTTACCAGAAAAGTGGGGTCTGCTCTACTGTATTATATATTGTATATACAGATCTCCACTGATTCTTGAAATGATCCCCCAAGGTAATTCTGGCCTCATCCTCTCTTCATTTTTCTAGAATCGATTTCCTTCCTCATTTTGTTTGCCAAATATTCTCAATAAAACAATGTGGCCTCAAGATAGGAAAAAGGCCTCTTATTCCAATTGACTCTTAGTTCAAGTCTTTCCTGCAACAATCATAGGCTGTGCTGTTTTAAGCTAGTCACAGATCTTTGAGCCTCAGTTTCTTAATTTGTAAGATGGCAATAATAATAACCTGCTTCATAGGGCTATTAGGAAGAAAGAGATTTTCAAACCTTGAAGTACTACAGAAAAGCAAGATGTTACTGTTATTACCATGATTGTCATCATCATCATCATCATCCCTGGTCACTGAAAAGAAATCTTCCTAGACATCCACACTGGAAAGCCCAAGAAGATGATGAGTATCTGTTGGTCAAATTATTCAATGCAGTTAGAAGGGCAGTTCAATGAATCAGTTAGCCTTTCCATGAATGTACCTTGGATAGAAATATTTCAGATGGACAATAAGCAATACCCAGAGTTTGATAGGAGGAAGCAAGGAGGTTGTATTAAAGAATAGATTGTAGTTTTTTCTCCTAGTGGTAATCTTACCCAGACAACAGGCTTGGAAATTAGAATGTAACTAACGGAAGTGAATAACTCAATGAGACAACAAGAAATATTAATTTAAAATCAAAAGACTGAAAAAATAGAAGAAAACATAAAGTATCATATAAAAAACAACTGACTTGGAAAACAGATTGAGGAGAGATAATGAAGAATTACAAGACTAACTGAAAGCCATGACTGAAAAGAGAGCTTACACATTTTATTTCAAGAACTCAGGAAAAATACCTTCCTTGATATCTTAGGAGGAGAGCGCAAAGTGAAAAGAGAAAGAATTAACCTCTTGAAAGTAACCCTGATATGAAATCACACATAGCCAAAACTTAGAACTTCTAGGTTAAAGAAAAACAACCAGGAAGAAAGAATTGAAGTACCAAGTAGCCACAGGCAAATTCACAGAAGATTTGGCAGATATCACTAAAAGGAGCAGAGAGTTTGAAATTTGATGTGTCGAAAAGCAAAAGATATGAGCTCACAACTAAGAAGAATTCTCCCAGCATATCTATCTAATGGAGATGAGGGTGTTGTGAATGGAATTTTAAAAAAATAAGGGAACTTTCAAGGATTCCTGATGCAAAGTCAAGAGCTAAATAGAAACACTGAAATACAAACCCTAGAATTAACAGTAAAATTGAAAAGCAAATATGAGCAAGAAATCATAAGGAACTAAACAAGAATGAAGTATTTACATTTTCACGGGAGAGAAGATGAAGCCAAGATGACACAGCAGCAGGAAGACAGTTCATCTGAGCTGCACCCCAAAACTCTTACAAAGAGATCTAAAAATGCATCATATTGAAGCTGACTGAGAAATCTAAGAAAAATTCAACATCTCTGTTGTCCTCTACCTCATGAGATAGCCATGAACTTCAAGACCCAACAATCAAGTGTGTGTAAGCTGGTCAATATCCCAGTGGAATGATACAACAACATAAAGATGGCACAATCGCTACCCTCAAGAAGCTTCCATTCTATGGGGTAAGAGGTGTAAGATGTCCATGAATAACTATAATGTTTTTTAAAAACTGAAATGATGGAGACAAATGATAGACTTAGCCGAAGTACTCTAGGAAAATCTAAGAAAAGAGAACACTTCCAATGCATTATATAGAATCTTTTTTGTCTTTTTCAAAAATTTAAATTTATTTATTTTAAAGTTAATTTGTTAATTTATTTAAATAAGTCACAGATATTAACCATTAGCCTTGGGAACCAGAAAAGAAGCTAAAATACCATTTAAAATACTCTGGGCTAGAAGTTAGGAGCTCTGGGTTGTCATTTGACTTTGGGCAATTCTGTTTCCCTCCTTGGATCTCAGTTTCCTCCCTTCCTAAGTAAATGGGTGGGATATCATGATTTACTATCATACCCCTTTAGTCTCTAGGGCAGTGCTAAGTACATAGGTGATAGCATGGTTCATTGCAAAGATCACTGGACTTAGAGTCAGAGGGTTTTCATTCAAATCTCATCTCTATTACTTGTGTGATGGGGCAAGTCATTTAGCAGTTTTTGCCTCAGTTTCCTCATCATAAAATGAGGGGGGTTGAACTAGATGACTTCTGTGATTCCTTCCAGCTCTAAATCTATAACCGCATGATCTCAAAAGTCCTTCTCAGTTGTGGCATTCTGTGTGCTATTGTCCCTTTCAGATCTGACATCTCAAGGTCTACAATAACCATCTGAATGTACTAATATATTACAGCTAGGTGGTGCTGTTGATAAAGGGCTGGAGCTGGAGTCAGGAAGTTCACATCCAGTCTCAAATGCTTACTAACTGTATGACCCAGACAAGTCATTTAACTTGTATCTGCCTCCATTTCCTATCTCCCATGATTATGAAGATAGAGTGAGAAAATATTTGTAAAGTGTTTGTCACAGTGCCTAGTATATGATAAACATTTAATAAATTATTACTTCCTTCCCTTCTCCCACCTTTTCCTAATATCCTGTCCAGATTTATCTCTTCTGCCCTCTGCAAGTCATATAGAGAAACTGAACCTCAGAGAGAGGAGAAAGAAAGGCTCCAGGTCATAAACTAGCCTAGCAGAACCAGGCCAGACCCTCTTGACTCTTGGCTCCAGGCTCCTTCCACTGTAAGGTAAGCCAGTGTCTTTGCTTAACTGAATTACATAAACAACTCTTGGGTCAGGAACAGAAGGGTAAAGTCAATAACAATGTTCTCTTTGGCATCTGGGGATCCCACAATTTGGTACAGTGCAAAGAACCCAGACTCACAAGTTAGAGGACCTGAGTTCAAATACAACCTCTGACACTTACAATCTGTGTGACCTTGTGCAAATCACTTAGCCTTGATTTGCACAACTGTACAAGAAGGAAGGCTAGAATATATGATCTCTAAGGTCCTCTAAGGTCTAGCTCTGGAACCTTGAGCCACTTTAGTCAGGACAGAATTCTGATCAAGGGCCTTCACATTGTGGTGGGTAATTAATAATAACTGAGGAACCAATCTGAGTTATACAATTTGTTAGCAAAACAGGTGTAATAAATGGGTCAAATGGGACTCCCCAGTCAGTCCAGACACCTTGAATACAGAACTAGACAGATTTCTATGCATTAAAAACAATTGATCAAATAAAACCAATTGATTAAAAGAAAACAGTGAATAGAATACAAGCCAGGATACAAAATTAGGTAATCTGATTTCTACTTGGAGAAAAGATTAGGAACTCTTCAAGTTGGAAGGGAGAGAATGAATTTTGTTTTAGTTCCATGGGGAGCAAGTAGATTTTGGGGTCTTGCCTTTATTTTTTTTTGCTTTATTTTTTCAACATTCACTTTTATAATATTTTGAGTTCTAATTTTTTTCTCCCTCCCTCTCTCCCCTCCCCCCTCCCCAAGATGGCAAGCAATCTGATATAAGCTATACATACACAATTATATTAAGCATATTTCCACATTCATCATATTGTGAAGGAAGAATCAGAACAAAAAGGAAAAACCGAGAGAAAGAAAAAAGAGAAAGAGAAAATAAGCTTCTATCTGCATTCAAACTTCATAGTTCTTCCTCTGGATGTTGACAGCATTTTCCATCATGAGTCTTTTGGAATTGTCTTGAATCATTGTATTGCTGAGAACAGCTAAGTAAATCATAGTTGATCATCATACAGTATTTCGGTTATTGTGTACAATGTTCTCCTGGTTCTGCTCACTTCACTCAGCATCACTTCATGTAAGTGTTTCCAGATTTTTCTGAAGTCCACCTGCTCATCATTTCTTACAGAACAATGGCATTCCATTACATTTATATACCACAACTTGTTCAACCATTCCCCAAGTGATGGCATCTCCTCAATTTCCAATTCTTCACTGCCACAAAAAGAACTGCTAGGGGCAGCTAGGTGCCACAGTGGATAAAGCATCAGCCCTGACATCAGGAGGACCTGAGTTCAAATCCAGCCTTAGACCAAATACTCACTAGCTGTGTGACCCTGGGCAAGTCACTTAATCCCAATTGCCTAAAAATAGAAAAAATTTTTTAAAAAAAGGACTGCTAGAAATATTTTTGTACATGTGGGTCCTTTTCCCTTTTTTATGATTTCTTTGAAATACAGACTTAGTAGTGGTATTGCTGGATCCAAGGGTATGTACAATTTTATAACCCTTTTGGCATAGTTCCAAATTGCTTTTCAGAATGGTTAGATCAGTTCACAACTCCACCAATGATGCATTAGTGTTCCAATTTTCCCACATCTCCTCCAACATTTATCATTTTCCTGTTTTGTCATATTAACCAATTGGATCACTGTGAGGTAGTGCCTTAGAGCTGTTTTAATTTGCATTTCTCTAATCAATACTGATTTGGAGCATTTTTCATATGACTATAGATAGCTTTAATTTCTTCATCTAAAAACTTCCTATTCATATCCTTTGACTGTTTATCAATTGGGGAATGACTTGTATTCTTATAAATTTGACTCAGTTCTCTATATATTTTAGAAATGAGGCCTTTATCATAGACACTGCCTGTAAAAATTGTTTCCTAGCTCACTGCTTTCCTTCTATCTTGGTTGCATTGATTTTACTTGTGCAAAACCTTTTTTAATTTAATGTAATTAAAACTATTAATTTTACATTTCATAATGTTTTCTATCCCTTTTTTGGCCATAAATTCTTCCCTTCTCCATAGATCTGACAGACAAACTATTCCTTGCTCTCCTAATTTGCTTATGGTATCAAACTTTATGTCTAAAACATGTACCCATTTTGACTTTATCTTGGTATATGGTGTAAGATGTTGGTCTATGCCTAGTTTCTGTCATATCATTTTCTAGTTTCCCCAGCAGTTTTTGTCAAATAGTGTTCTTATCCCAGAAGCTGGAGTCTTGGGTTCATCAAACAGTAGATTACCATAATCATTGACCACTGTGTCTTGTGTACCTAATCTATTCCACTGATTCGCCATTCTATTTCTTAGGTAGTATCAAATAGTTTTAATGATTGCTTTTTTATAATACAGTTTTTGATCTGGTATGGCTAGTTGGCTATATTTTAATTTCCAAACTGCCTCCCTTCCTTCCTTCTCATCCCACTCTAGAGAAGGCCATCATCTGACACAGATTTACAAATATATATAAAACTATACTATGCATACTTCTATTTATAAGTTCTTTCTCTGAAGTGTACAGCATCTTCTTTCATAGGTCCTTTACAGTTGATTTGAATATTTATTGTATTCAGAATAACTTGGTCGTTCACAATTATTCTCCAAATAATATTGCTATTGCTGTATACAATGTTTTCTTGGTTCTTCTCACTTCACTTTTTATTATATTATGCAAGCCCTTCCATGTTTTTTCTAAAATCAACCAGTTCATCATTTCTTACAGCACAATAGTATTCAATCAGAATCATGTACCACAACTTGTTTAGCCATTCTCCAGTTGATGGGCATCCCCTCAATTTCCATTTCTTTGCCACCATAAAGAGAGCTACTATAAACATTTGAGAACATATTGGTTTCTTTTTTCCTTTTTCCCTGATCATCTTGGTAAACAGACCTAATAATAATATTGCTGGGTCAAAGGATATACACAGTTTTATAACTCTTTGGGCATAATTAGATTGCTCTCCAAAATTGTCCGATAAGTTAAAAATTCCACCAACAATGTGCTAATGTCTCAATTTTTCCACATCCCCTCCAACATTTGTCATTTTCCCCTTCTATCATTTCAGCCAATCTGATAGGTGTAAGATGATATCTCAAAGTTTGTTTTTTAATTTGCATTTTTCTAATCAATCATGACTTAGAGCATTTTTCATATGACCATTTATAGTTTTGATTTCTTCATCTGAAAACTTCCTGTTCATATCCTTTGACCATTTATCGATTGGGAAATGACTCATATTCTCCTAAATTTCCTGAAGTTCTCTATATATTTAAGATATGAGGCCTTCATCTGAGAAACTGTCTAAAAAATTTTTCCCCAGTTTTCTGCTTTCATTTTAATCTTGGCTACATTGGTTTTATTTGTACAAACACTTTTTAATTTAATATAATCAAAATTATCCATTTCACATTTCACAATGCTCTCTAACTCTTGTTTATTCATGAATTCTTCTCTTATCCATAAGTCTCATATGTGATATATTCCATTTTCTTCTAGTTTTCTTCTATCACCCTTTATATCTAAGTCATGTATCCATTTTGACCTTATCTTGGGAAATCGTATAAGATATTGATCTGTACTCAATTGCTACCAGACTGTTTTCCAATTTCCCCAACAATTTTTTTTTTTACCAAATAGTGTATTCTTGTTTCAAAAGCTTAAATCTTTACATCTGTCAAACCCAAGGTTACTATAATCATTTACTACTGTGTTTCACTGTTCCACATTTCTATTTCTTAGCCAGTACCAGATAGCTTTGATAACTGCTGCCTTACAATATAATTTAAGATCTGGTATTACTAAACCTCCTTCTTTTACATTTTTTTTCACTAATTCCTTTGATATTCTTGACATTTTGTTCTTCTAAATGAATTTTATTATTTATTTCCAGCTCAATAAAATAATTTTTAGTAGTTTAATTGGGGTGGCATTGATAAATAGAATAGTTTAGGTAGAATTGTAATTTGTATTATATTGGCTCTGCCCACCCATGAACAAGTAATATTTCTCCAATTATTTAAATTTGATTTTATTTGTATAAAAACATCTCATAATTATGTTCATGTCATTCTTGGGTTTGTCTGGGCAGGTATACTCTCAGGTATTTTATCCGGTCCACAATTACTTTAAATGGGGTATCTCTTGCTATCTCCTCTTGCAAGGTTTTGTGGGTGATATATGGAAATGCTGATGATTTATGTGTTTATTTTATATCCTGTTACTTTGCTAAAATTATTAATTGTTTCAACAAATTCTTAGTTGAATCTTTAGGTAATTCTTACTTTTTCAATTTATTTTTCTTCTCATTGCTATTGCCTGCCTTTCTAGTACAATATTGAATAATAGTGGTGATAATGGGCATCTTTGTTTCACCCTGATCTTATTGGAAAGTCTTCTAGCTTATCCTCATTACAGACAATGTTTGCTGATGGTTTTAGGTAGATGCTTCTTATCATTTTAAGGAAAAATACATTTGTACCTATGTTTTTGAGTGTTTTTAATAAGAATGAGTGTTTTTTTGTCAAAAACATTTCATGTATCTATTAATATAACCAATTGATTTTTATTTTTTTTGTTATTAATATAATCAATTATGTTAATAGTTTTCCTCATGTTAAACTATCCCTGCATTCCTGGTACAAATCCCACTTGATCACCTTGCATAATCTTTGTGATACATTGTTGTCTTCTGGCTAGTATTTTATTTATGGTTTTTGCATCCATAGTCATTAATGAAATTGGTCTATCATTTTATTTCTCTTCCTGATTTAGGTATCAGCAACATATTTGTTTCATAAAAGGAGTTTGGGAAGACTCCTTCGTTATCTATTATTCCAAATGATTTATTTAGTATTGGAATTAATTGATCTTTTGTAAATATTCTTCCATGTCACTTAAATTGTTAAATTTATTGACATATAATTGGGCAAATTAACTCTTAATGATTGCTTT